TGTCATGCCGCACTCCGGTAAGTAACTTGTGAATTCCTTCTGTTCCTCTTTATGCTTTTTTGCCCGGTTCCGTAGCACCGACCCAATTTCATCATATGCTCGAGTTTAATATTAATACTTTTCAATTTTATAGATAGTTCTCATAAAAAAAAGGTTTGCACGCAGGAGGTGAGTAATACATTGCATATCAGGTTTCCGAGTAAGAAAAGTGACTTCGTTGTGTTAATTCTATGCAACGCCATGCTTTTTTATTTGCAGCCGGGACCGAATCCATTTAAGGCCCCAATCATCCTCAACGTCTACATAAAGTATGATGAACGCAAACAAGCGCTTGATGTGCTAGTTAGGAATCTACAAAACACTCCTCTCAAAAGAAAAGTCAGAGTACGTCTTTGGTCTGACTGGTAGCGAGAGATGTGTGCATACATCTGTGCAATTTAAACATAGCATCTAACACCCCAAAAAGGGCCTTAAAAGTAGCTAAGGAGACCAAATCAACATTTCAGTCTGCAATGATTAGGTTAAATTTGTCGCTTAATTTTGCTCTGTATAAAATACACTTTTTTGGGAAGGTTGGGAAGCAAGTTGGACTTGACTAATAGCAACTCACGGGAAATGTGCAGGAATCGCTGGTTCATAATCGAAAATTATCTACTTCTTCATCAGATATCGTTTAAATTGGTATTCTGATTGAAGTCTCCAAAACGTTTTAATATGACTGTGAGGAGTCAAGGAAACACGACGAATTTGGTGTTATTTACCTACTTTTAAGGTGAAGACCAAATTTTTGCTGCCAACCAACCCGCAACTAATGGAAAATAAGAAATTGCTTAAGCGGTTCCGATCCCGCGAAAGGTGTTCGGATGGCGTAGTTATCATTGATGCTCGTCACACCTCAAAGAAACGTGGACCGAATCCGCGCTTCAATGAGGATTTCCATTTTACCCCTCTTATAGCAAGTAAGCCTTAAATTGTATTTGTGCTTTACGTCTTCAGAGGGGAGATAGTTAACTTAAATCCACACTATATAATCCGGTGAATATTTTTAAGGCTTGCCAATTGTTTGTGTACGATATCTTCTCCTATAGGAGTCAAGGCTATTCGTGAGTAGACAAGGCGCAAAGTCATTTCGAGCTCATCTCGCTATACACACCTCATTGAATTTGCAGTCACTGCTTTTCTGTGGCCTTCATTAGCTAATAGTCAGCGGGTCCGCCAACTCTGATACCACTAAAACGCACAGCATTGTGTGCCTGTTTACTAATGGAGCCTCAAAAGTACTGATGTTTGTGGTGATCCCTGGTGAGTGAGGAGGGTGCTGCTTTAATAAATGGATGAATGGAATTGCAGCTAATAAAGGCAGTGTCGTGTTTTCAATATACCAGCAAATAAGACCTCACAAGTTCTGTTCGTATTAGCGAAGGAATCCATACGGGTGCCAGCATATTCTTTCCCGTCGTTTGTTTAGAATTTAAACGGATGTATGAATTGGAAGTTTTTAGGATTTGCATGGTGCATTTTAATGCCTCCCTATAAGGTCTGACGTACTGACTTCTCATCCGTTGCCGAGTGCTTAATAACCGATACATTCTTTCTTATTTAGAGGATGTCAAAATGGGAAAACTGGTTTTCGACATATACGAAGTGAAAAAGAAACGCAAAACCTTTCTGGGAACGATTGAACTATGTGGATCAGAAATTGAATTAAAGTGTGACATGGCCTACAGTCTTTACCTTCGTAATCCGACAGTAAGCCTTCAATTGCCATGAAATTAGAAAAGAAGGAACTAGTCAGTTCTGTCACTCTTCATGTGAAGTAAAACTAGCGGCAACTTTGGGTTGTAAGAATAGTTTATAGCTCACCAAATCCTCTTAAGGTTATCGACAGATTTATTGTGCACAAACTGCTAGCCTTCACAAAGCTTCAAGTATCTGAAGAGTTATGTGCAGTGGCGCACCAAGTTACCCAGAAAAGTGTCGTTTCAAATTGACAGCGACCGGTGCAGCGGTCATTAAAGATGTTAGACTGGTGTAAGAACACTGTTTTAGCACCACTGATCCCATGTCTGTTTTAACTTTCAGTACGGGTCAACTGTGGCTGCTGCTCGGGATAGAAGTATGCATTTGATGTTCACTTATAATTGCGTATTTTTGAAAGGAAGCGGGCGCTGCTCAGTGTATGATGACAAATGTATGCCTAAACAATCATTCGCTAATCCTTAACGGATACTTAAGTCAATTACAACGAGCTAGCTTTCTGCGCACAATGCGTAACTGGAGCTCATCACTTGACACCCCATGACACAAGTGATAGGTCTATCAGAGAAACTGGTTCCGCGTTCCAAGTAGGTGAGCCGTCTGATACCAAAATGACGACCGAAATCTACAATGCATATGATAGATTCTCTGAGGATCAGACAGTTGACTCCCCTTTCTGCGAAATCGAAACTCCTCAATTGACGGAATCATCAACTGTTAGTCATGCGAAAGTGAAATCAAAGTGAATCCTGTAAAACCCCAAATCCAATAGTAAACACAAATGCTGCTTTTAGAAGCCCTTATTCACATTGAGCATTGCAAAGAGCGCCTAATTATTGCATGGATAACTTTGCAAGACCTCTCCAGGTAACGAAATCAGCAAACAGAAAGCATACTGATACAAAAAAATACAATCAACACTTTTTATTTGTGTTTTAAATACCACTAATTTCACATTACAATTGCTTTAGTAATGCTGCCATCATAGCAGCTGCCTTGGCGTAGCTCCTCAAAACAGGACTCCGGTCCAAGAGCGCCAATTTTTAGTGAATAAGGTTTCTAAAGCCATATTCGCTTCATGGAACAACTCGCCTTTTTGGCATTTAATTCAAGTCTTTTCACGTTCTGGAACTCACCGGTAATCTGGAATACTCCTTAATTTTAGTTCAAGAACGGACTGCAAATGCTTTCTAAAATGTGTTTTGATGAAGCCTTGTCGCCTACTTTGAGCTAAACTTCGCATTTTCAGGTACCTCGTCCACGTCATCGACAACATCATCACCGTCGTCCTCCGCATCGTCAACAACATCTAGCTGTAAGCAGTGTCTTGTGAGCATCGACGGGCTTAGCCTTAGGATGGGTTCCTTGAGCAACATCTCATTAATTTATTTGGACAATGTTGGTTGAAAGTAGGAGGACCATGTAAATAATACTGGAACTAGTTTAACTTTACACCTTACGGAAAACGGCGGTCAAGGTGAAAGGAAAGTGTACGAATACAACAAGTCGGTTGCTACAACTCTCAAGTAATTCCATCATGAAAATGGACGAGGCTTTTTCCAGCCAAATCGATGTGTATTTTTTCGTTTAAGAAGCACATCAACACTTGTTATACGTTTTCACCTTCTTATCAACTTCTATTGAGTTGTGTCCTGTAAAAGCTCGCCTCCGTTTCAAGGAATTTTTGACAGTATAACGTCATCGGCAACTTTCACTAATATGTGTACCATTAGAGGGGAGGTTGTATTAATTAGTTTGTTTGGACTAACTTAACATAAATCCTATTAAGTCAGGAAATAAACGGTTTCGTCCAAATTTTATTTAACCTCGTCGGTGTGTGGCTGTTTGTGTTTTTTTTAATTTACAAGTGTAAACATTTTAGCCTCATCATCGTTTCGTACGCGGTCCTCCATCGTGTCTTTGCCCAAGGAGAGGACTTGCCGTAAGTTCTCCACCTTGTGATTTGTTCAACGAGGCAGGCACACTTTAGTTAAGGGTAGAAAATTTGTTGTTACCGTTTCTGTGAGCTGCTAGCATTGCATCTTTTCGAAAGACACTGAAAACAGGAGGATTCATCTAGGTGGCTTGCCAAACTGATTTGCGACTTGTTTTTACCCGTGGTACGTGCAATGACTTTCTTGCGTTTCAGCGAAACCCGTGTGCTACGAAAGAAAAGTGGTGACCTGCAAGAGAGGTGCTCCCATCACATCACCGTTTCCCACTTTGTGCATTTTCAATACCATCTTTTATGTTGGGCCAACATTCACCAGTAGCACACTCTACTGTTTGCACAGTCCTAATACTACTTTTGCTATTTTGTTTGTTTCTCTTCAAACCGAAAATATCATCTCATTGTGCTAAAGCCCACAAATTAACTTAAATGGCGTTGCTTTCAGCGTCGTCTGCATCGATGCCGTATTCGTGCAACTGTGAGTTTCTCCCAACCTTCATGTTTCCACACGCATTTCTTCAATGTCTACACCAAAAGTTAACCCTAAATAAGTCCATGTCCTCTTTGTGCATTTCTGCCGCGTCCGTGGTTGAGCTTGAAGAGTAAAATTTGGAGTTTGGGAATCGACGCCTATTACTTGTAACTTGTGTCCCTCCCATCCCATGTAATGCAAACGTGTTCTTTTAGAATTTTCCTCTACTTTAGGTGAAACAGCCTGTTATGAACCTCCATCATCATCATCATCATCATCGCCCAAGGGTGGTAAGCAAGGCTCTTAGAAGCTCAGTTTTGTGAAAAAAATTCCTTCAAATCTCTCACTTTCAAATCAAACTCTTGACCAATTTTTCTACTTTCGGTCATTTTCTCTACTCAGCTAAATTCATTTCAGTGTCTCCATCCTCATCACTACCATCACTGCCATCAACATTGGCACTTCTACCTTCTAAGGCAAAAACACTCCGTGAGTTTTTGCTAATGACGACTCTGTGACATTAATGCGAATTCCACCAGTAAAGAGGTGATAAGCTTGGCAGTTGGGAGTGTGTGATAGGGTAGATTTCAATGCTGTTGAGAGTTGTCACATAATTGGATGGAACTGCATACGAAACAATAGAGTAAAATTTACTCTGTCTAATGATTACTAACTCTGTTCAATATTTTCAAATTATTGCGAGACAAAGTGCTTGTGACCGTAGTAAAATGTAAAAAGCCACAATTCTTCTTCCGATCTCATCCTTTCCAATTTTAAGCCTTAAACACTTCCAGGAACGCCATATGTAAGTGCCTGCTTCTGTACACCTTAATTTTGAAGCATTTCACTCCAAGTTCCAGTTTGTTCACCAATTGCTGATTGTATAACCACAGAACTCGTTCTGCTCCCTGGATCCATGGAATTAGCAAAGCAGCACATACGCTTTCATATAACAAACCCGTAATAAGCCCGACAACGCATTTGGTGACATTATTTAGCTTGCTTTGTGGGCTCCCCTAGAGGCCTGCTTTGTTGTGAGGCATGGACTCAGTCAGGTGTTCGTCCATTTTAGACGAGGTGGTCCCCACCGAGATCACTAGGTCGCCCAAGAAACAAGGTAGTTTCATTTACCAGAAACAATAAGCTAATCCGATTTCTAAGTATATCTTAGATTCTTAAAACTGCAGATTCAAGTTGGTGCGAAACCATAAGGTTACCTGGTGCATTGACCGAATAATAGCAATTTTTTCATCATGCCTTGCAATTCTTGCATGATCTATATTTGTTTCTGTTTTTGGTTGGGACCAACATAGGAACTTCTCTGCCCTCGCCGGCTTTATCTGCACCTTCATCCTCGAGCAGTAAGGCTTGTCCAAGCGTCCTACAGTTTCCGTTTCTTTACTTCTGGCATATTTAGAGGCAAAAAAGTGCATGTAGACAGCAGACTGAAGTCAGGAATTCACTGCCTTTCCTTTTAATATTTGGCTGCATACATGCATCCAGAAACTATTGCTTTAATAGACGAAACCATTTTACTGTTTCTAAGATTCACATTCTGTTGAATACGAGCTTTTTAGCAAGGAATGAAGGACTTTGTTGAAATGTACGTCAAAGTTAGTGCTGAATTTTATGGCACTGCTTTTGACATTGCGCACACTTTGCCTCTATTATTGACTGAATCCAGTGCTTGGTGGGAACTTTTATCACCTTACGTAGACATGAGCACTTAGTTTGTGGCAGAATGCGTGAAACATTATGGTAAGAAACACAGGCTTCAAAGCACTGCTTAACACTTATTTGAGAACCACCACCCTCTTGACACATGGTCAAGAACATCTAATTGTTGAGGTGGCATATCAAGCAGATATTGTTAGTATTTCGACCGGACTTTCTACCTTTCTGCGACGCTAGTTGAAGGCTCGGCATTACGGGAGACAAATCTGCTGCATCTACGCATGTCCATACCATTCTCAGACGATATTTCACTCCCACACCATGAGACTAGTGGTGGATAAGGTTGCTATGCTCTCTGTTAGAGTTGCGTGGCAGTGGCTCAATTGTCTGCACTCCTCACTACATACTTCGAAATTGTGACCTGGAGCTCGTCTCTTCGCTGAATTCCGTCGTCCTTCCTAGTGGCATTCAACCCATCACCATCCATTGTAAAGCAAACCCTTGTTTGAACATCGATAACACGTTCATTGACATTCACAATTTGTGTAAGCATTTTTGACGCAAACGCAAATCGGCCAATTTTCCCCTGTTAAGAAAATTTGCTAAAAAGTTCCACATCATTTGCAATTAAAGTGTAAGTAAAAAAGTGATGAGCGGGATTAGTGTAAGATTTTCCGGTTTTCAAAAGCACTACTTACCTACTTTTCTCAACTCTTCCCTGACTTATTAACCTTCACGTTTCTTTTATTCCCGTAGCTTCCCAGGGTTCTGACATCACAGTCTGTAAGTGTACTCGGTAACACCGGTAGACCATTCCATTAACAGCCTGACTTCTACTTTATTAACATTATTATATACCACGTCTCAATTAAAGCCTTAACTTCTGCACCAATTAGAGAAAAGTATATTTTAAATAAGTTTGTGCTAACCTTTCCCCATGCCTTGCACATGCATCATTCTGGAGAAAGTGCGGGA